CTGCTTGTGATCGGGTTGATGTCAAAATACAACATTTAAAAATCAAATCTCATTTGTAGGTGGAGGGATCATTAGTTGTATAGCCATATTGTAAATAGCTGTGACATATTCTCCCTCACCATTGCCAACTCATCACACCGCTCATTTTATTATTATTTTAATCTTTATGATTATTACAAGTTGCATTTACTCTGTAGATAGTAGTTTAGTTAATAAACTTCTTTATTTTCACTCAGTTGTTGTCCTGTTGTGTTCTTCTGACGTACAGACTGGAGATCCATTGAATCAAGTCATGGCTTCTGATATGAGATTGATCACATTAATGAATGAAATAATTCAATGTTGTCCTCCCTCAGGGCTGGTGCCACCTTATCAACGAGAACAAATTAATTAAAAAATTGTGGTGTTCATGCTACACAATAGTGACATCCAGGTTGTCATAGCACATTGCACACTCACCTATGTAGGTTTATATTACTACTGTATCTTAATAATGCAACCTTAAAATAACAATGAAATACTGACCTTAACATTGACTTCAGACCAGGTATTTGTAGGTCAATCACTTTCCTCTGCCTCCAAATAACAATGTGTCTGACCACATCTCATGTACAAAGTTTAGTTTTCATAAAGCGTTTCCTGAGATATGACTTTTCTTACTGTTTGGTGGTTTTGCTGCAATTTGTGATAGCTGTGATAAAAAAACGCTTTAGAAAATCAAAAAGCCATGGAAAACTCTTGTGAGGCTTGTTCTTGACATCTGTGCCAATTTTAGGTCATATGGTATCTCATTTTTGAACATCAGAGATACAGGTCAAAAGTTACATGCATGAATACACCTCCAAATTTGATCTATTGATGGTGCTAGAGTGCTTGAGGCACAAACATTAAACTTGGTGAAAAGCAACATGAGAGTATCCCCAGTAGGTCTGGGTTGAAAAAATTGTTTCTCTGGTTAAAATTTGTTCTACATTTGAATAATCAAATATCGATTCATAAAACCCGAGATCTAGTCAGGTGAGCATAGGTATAGCTGCCGGAATGACCCTCCACCACTATTCATTAGTGATGAAACAAAATATCCACAGTTCGCAGAATTAGATTGATATATATATACATTTGTAGATCCGATCACTAAAGTGTGTGTCATGCAAGAGATCTAATAAAAACAAATGAAAAGGTCAGTTATATTGACATTTGAGGTGTATTGATTGGTAGCTGCCAGTAGCCTCTGAGCTGCAAAGTGAATTAAATCGTTAAGAATCAAAGATGAAGACACAGAAAACATCCTTTCATTCATCATTCACTTTTCTTCATGACAATGTCAGTCTGTTACACTTGGATAACTTGTGCTGTTGGAAATGAAAGCTATCTTAGCCACATTTTTACAGCCTAGCCTGTTAGCTTCTCCTGACCTCTGCCTGTACTGCAACTTCTCCTCTGAATGGATGTTTCCAATGTGGCTTCATTGGCTCGACACAAGTAAATGCATGTAAATGGCCACTGTAGGAACAGCGATTACATAACCTTTGAAACGAGCCCCAGTTAAACCTTGCGCTTGCACTATAGGTGTCTAAACAAACAGCACTACACCTCTGCACGTGACAGACAAAGACATAGCAGACATGTCCCAATGAAGTCAGCAGCAAGTCTAAAGGCAGATGTGTGGCTGCATTTCAGATTTTAAAACTATGTAGACAGTGAAGAGCTGGACAAAAGCACAGTTAGATGTGTGAAAGAAGCTGCAGCCCGGGGTACATTAACAACAATCACTTGTAGCGTACATACGTGGCCTGGCATCAGTCACAAGCCATTAAGGAAGTTCATTATAAGGACATGCAGAGTTACGGACCCACAATTGAAACTTTGTGACTCTTCCCACCATCAAACTATCAAACTGATAGGAAACAGAGACGAAGGAACCTTCTCCCACAAACAGACCATGCGTTTAGCATGCCAGAGAGACACAGAACCAGACCAAAGGTCAAAGGGTCAGCTCCAGAGGATCAACCAATGGACACCAGACAACTGGAGAATATAGGCAAAATCTCCAGTTTGTAACAATAAGACTCTGTCTAATATTTGATTGTTTCTTATATAGAAAAGTAACACCAAAATGACTGATTAATATTAAGGTGTGAATCCTGGCCTCTCTGCCATGCATGAACACACACACCAACCTCCCTTCCTCTGTCTCTCTCTCTCTAGATAAGAGTCATAAACTACGACCCACATTCCAATCCTGGGTAGTGACCAGCAGAACTCTCTTCACAGACACAGATCTGAGGAAGAATGTATAATTAAATATCTAGCTGTTCTGTAACTCATGAGATGTTCCTATGCAATAGTTTAATCCCAAACTTCTATCCCAGGGTTAGGGTTAGAGGGTCCTTCATGTGACCATACTGTCAGCATCCTTCGCACGAGGTAACACACACTACATGACATCCAGAATGTCCATATTATTATTATTACAGTCAAAGAACTGCTGTGTAATCCACATGTATAGACTATTAGCTCTGAGAAATGTTTATATTGTTGTTTGATCAGTTAACCACTTGTATCATGATTAATTCCAGGTTTGAAGGATGTAATATGAAATCAACACTCCTATTACTCCTCTCTGCCATTATTAGTGCAAGTAGTTTTATATGTTATTTCATTTAATGTTTTGTGGTCATGGTGGAAGACGGATGTGTGAGTTATAAGTAAACTATATAATTAAATTATTCCAAAGTTCAGTAGAAAATTACGCTCTTCTCCAAGTGGAAAAACAGGAGAAGACGGGTGACGCCCCTGAAACATGCGCCAGCCCCCAGGAGATAAAACAGTAGTGAACAATTCACACATGGTCAGAGAAGACAGAAAAAGGTGAGAAGAGGTCAGAAATGTTAGAAACAAGACAAAGTTAGAAACTCTGCGAGATGCTAAGAAGGAAGAAGATGCGAGAAACGAAGCTAAAAGCTAGAGGCTGAAAAGCTGAAGCTAGAAAACGATGCAGAAACTAGAAGCTGAGATCTTTGCTCAAAGCTCAGAGTCCCGGCTCAAAGCCTGGCTCTGTAGCCATGTAAACTCTTAGCTCTAAGCTGCTAGCCACAAACTCATGGCTCTTAGTCATTTTTGCACTTTTCGCGTCTTTTATTTTTCTTTGCCACAAGCTCCAAGTAACATGATTTTTGTCTACATGCGCGATCTTTTATTTTTATAAGCCAAGTCAAGACCAACTGAACCAAAACAACAGAAGAGCCTCAGTAACTTTGTAACTTTTAATCATCAAGTTTTCCCTTTTGAAGATTTTGACAACTTTAGAGTCATCTGGTCAACGCCAGTCTCCTCTAAAGTTATCCAGCCAAAGTGAAGAGCATTAGAGTTTATTTCGCATCAACCGACAAGAGACGTCGGCAGAGACACATCTGCACGACCTCCTGCAGAGAAGGTGAGCAGAAATCAAGAGTGCCCGAGACAGAAAGTCTCCTGGCAAACTCCACCAGAGCTGAACCGCTGAGACACCGGCAGAATCCATCATCATGATAACAAGACACGGCCTCCAGGAGAATCCACCTAGATCCCGCATCTCCGGGGTTACCACGGCAACCTAAGCCACCTGGGTTCCAGCCAAGGGTCTTCAGCTACAGTGCAACTCACAGTAGGCCGGTCTTAACACTCTGCTCATGACTGGGTTGATGTCGAAATATAGCAATATTTAATCATCAAACCTAATTCGTAGATGTAGTATCATTAGCTGTATAGCCATAGTGTATAGCCATAACATATTCTCTCCCACCATTGCCAACTCATCACACTGCTCATTTCCTTATTATTTTCATCTTTATGATTATTACACAGTATTTAGTTAATAAACTCCTTTATTTACACCTAGTTGTTGTCCTGTTGTATTCTTTTGACGTAGAGACTGGAGATCCATTGAATCGAGAAGTCATGGCTTCCGATATGAGATTGATAAATTTAGCATTGAAGTAATTCATTGTTGTCCTCCCAGAGGACTGGTGCCCCATTTCAACGAGAGTAAATTCTAAAATATGGCGTTAACGCTACACACTACATGTATTATTTCTTGACATGTGTCGTAATGTAAGCATGAATATGTTTAATAATGAACCAGGTTAGAGGGACATTTTACAGCATTAATTCTCTGAGAATCTTATTCATATCCAAGAAAAATGTATGTTGTAACTGAAATTTCTCTAAGTGAATTGAAATCGATATAAATAACGAATTGAATCTATCTGAATTGAATAGGGAATCGAATTGAATCAGGACCTTGTGAATTGGAATTGAATTGATTCAGGAAATCAGTGGCAAAACCCAGCCCTACCTACTAGTGGGTATTTCTAAACTTTTTACAGTTCTAGGGGATGCCATCCACTTCCATGGCAGAAGAAGAAGTGAGAGAAAAGGTAGAAACGCAGAAGTTAGCATGATGCTTTACAGACAAGTGACTTAGGGAATATTTTGCCACTGCAGAGATTTATTCATTATAAATGATGAATTTAGATTTTTGGATGATGAATGATGATTAAGGCAGTAGTTACATCAGGAATTAACACTTGTGATCAAGGTAAATAAAATTGTTTCAAATATAGTTCAACACTATAATCAGAACTTAAAAACATGAGGCGGAGACCTGTAAAATATGCAATCCAGTACAAAAATCATAAAACAAATGTTACCTAGGTGAATATCATTACATATCTAAACCTATTAATCTGCACTTTATTACTGTGTGCTTGTATTTTTCTTTCTCTGCCTGGTGATACAAACTGAACGGAGAAAAAAGGAGAGGGAAAAGCTGAGCTGGCGCTTCGTTCAGGCTGTGTACAAAGCTGAGAGAGGAGAGGGAAGAGGAAGGAGGGGACAGTGGGTATGCTGTACTTCTGACGTCAGAATCTTGCTACAAAGATAAGCCAGGAGGTTTAATATGAAGTACAATGTTCGTCCTTTTAAGAAGAGTGATTGAGCTCAAGCACCTCCCAGCGCTGAACACTTGAAGGGTAACATAACAGACAAGAGATACCTGGTACACCTCCCTCATATATGCTCAAAGCAGAGCAAAAACTATGAGGAGAAGCTGAGTCTTGCGTAATGAAGGCTACTGTGAAATAATTTGCCTGCCGCCATAAAAGCAGAAAGGGAAAATGGGGATGGCGAGTGAGGATCTGCTGGTGACACTTCAGATACTACCTGGTTTTTTTTCAAACTGTCTGTTCCTGGCCCTGTACGACTCCGTGGTGCTCGTGAAGCGAGTTGTGTCGCTGCTCAGCAGCTCCAGATCTGCCGGTTCCGGAGAGTGGCGCCGTATGTTGACCTCAGCGGGGCTCCGCTCCGTCTGGAATAGCTTTCTTCTGGACGCCTGGAAGCAGGTAAAATTGCTGCCAATGAACCCGTGTACATTTAATGGAGCTTAAACTTTACATAATTAAGTCCCAGCTGTCTAACCTATTATGCAGTATTAGGGCCACAACACAGTGTCTGATCTGACTTTGTTATCACATTGTTTTTTTCGCTTTAACTGTTTTTAGCTAGTGGGAGAGGTAAGCTGAGAGAGGAGGGGGTCGGCCGTTAATTCCCGTTGCACTTAGTAACTAACTACAATATTACTCTAACGTGAGCAGTTTGAAGCAAAAGATACAGTGTAAGATACTGTATCATAACTGCTGGCAGGTTTAAGTCCTAAGTTGAAATAAATTCAACAATTATAATGTATTTGTATTGATTTGGAACAATGCCAGTTATATGACAGATGTTATAGAACTATATTAATGTTCCAAATTTATGTTAAAGTTGAATCAGTTTTAAGCTGTGGTAAATATTGTTTATTTATTTATTTGTATTTTTTAATGAAACAGGACATTTACACCTCCAAAGTGGTACATATATCAGAGCTCTGTTCAGTGAGGTGTGATCAGGCTGTGCTTGACTGACATTCTTCCCACCTATGTCAATTTTATTGTACCTGTTACGGTTGGAACTACCTTTGTGATCCTGTGTGATTACTTTATTAAGTTTGGGGACCTCATTTATGTTCCAGCTTAATATTGCATTCCAACACCAGTTGTCACCAGTTAGGGAGGAAAGAAAGATAGAGATATTCCAGCTTGGATGTGTTGCATGATTTGAAGATGGTTAGCCTCATTGCTAACTTTGTAGCTGCACTAGATAAAGAGCATAAAACAGCTTCTTTTGTTGTGCTATGTATTTGTTGCAGCAGTTCATTACCAAGTGTTTTTTCCTTTTAAATGAGCTTAATCTGCTGTATGAGAGTTAATATTTGAGTTTATTTGGATGGAACTGCCAAATATATATTTGTAACTGTAAAGTGGAGTAATGTGTCTTCTTATGATTAGTATATTATTAATGTAGTTGAGTATTCTATTGTGAAAAAGCGCGTATGTAAGTAGGCAGGAAAATAACGAGCTGAACAGAAAAGTGCAACAACAGAGAATTACAGTCAGGAGACCAATCGTTTGTCACAGTCACAAAGGCTTTACAATGACACAGCTATGTTATAACCAACTAGACCCATAAAAACAGACACAATATGTAGTTTTGTAAAATCCAAAACAGCGAGTTAAGAGATAAAGGCAAAGCCCACTTTGCACCTCCTTGATGTTCGCACATTAATCACTATTTTTACCTCCTTAGGTGAAACTTGGCTGTGATGCACCCAACTCTAAAGTGGTGAAAGTGCCTGATGGCCCTCGGTGTAGCAGCAATATCAGTAATATGACCAATGTGCCGACTGGAGCCAGGATCCGGAATGGGGTGGAGTGCCGCCTTCTGGATTTTGAGTCATCAGACCGCCCTCTGGTGGTTAACTTTGGCTCAGCCACCTGACCCCCCTTCATCAGTCACCTGCCAGCTTTCCGGCAGTTGGTAGAGGACTTCAGTGACGTGGCTGATTTCCTGTTAGTGTACATTGATGAGGCTCACCCATCTGATGGCTGGGTGGCCCCTCCTATGGGCTCTTACTCTTTCAATGTACGGAAACATCAGAACCTGGAGGAGCGGTTGGGAGCAGCACGCAAACTCATTGAGCACTTCTCACTGCCGCCGCAGTGTCAGCTGGTGGCTGACTGTATGGACAACAATGCTAATGTGGCTTACGGTGTGTCCAATGAAAGGGTGTGTATAGTACAACAAAGAAAGATTGCCTATGTGGGTGGTAAGGGGCCTTTTTTTTACAATCTGAAGGATGTGCGGCAGTGGCTGGAACAGAGCTATGGTAAAAAGTAGCTGTAATCAAGGACGAGTATGGAGGAGGACATTTCCCTTGTTTCAGTTGGGAAATTGTGTTTGAGCATAAAAAGGCAGAAATGTGAAGCAAAAGCACACCAGTCTGTTCAAACTGAGATGAACATGTGTAACAACTTGTGCTAATGATGCACATGAAGTTGATTGGAAGCAACATAAGAAGGTGACAGTGTGTGTGCTTCAACTGTATTTATGCCTGTTTTTCATGATTTCCATTGAACTTAAAAACCAAATAACTGAAATAGGGAAGAAATCACAAGTTCCTGTTTTATAAATATGTTTGCTAAAGGAATAGGTTTTTAATTATTTTATGAAGATTTTAATATTTGAAATTTTTTCAGTGTGGTGATATATTGTTATGCACTGTGTCAACAACTTAATTTTATGTGTTATCTTTATATACCCTCATTTGACAGCTCTATAGTGTTTTTTATTTTTTTCATTTCATTTTCCTGCTTATAAGAAGCATTTACCCCCGTGGGAGTTTTCATGTGTACAATAGTGAATCAAAGTAGATTTAATGTGGCTTTTTGACAATGATCAACAGACAAAGACCCTTTAATGTAAAAGTGAAAATCTTAGTAGAGTATTCAAGCCCTATAAGTTTGGTAAAGTTACAACCTTGAGTCTGTATGGATAGGTCTTGGTAGGTTATGCTTCACTGGACATGGCTCTGTCAGGTTGTATGGAGATCATGAGTGAACTGCCTTTTTCAAGTCCAGCCACAAATTCTCAACTAGATTCAGATGTGGTTTTTCACTCCAGAATATTACTATTGTTGTTTTTAAGCTATTCCTGTCTAGCTTTGACCACATGCTTGGGTATATTGTCTTGCAAACAACCCCAAGTAGGTTTTACTACATTCATTTCAGCCTGCTGCAGAGAGGTAACCTCAGAGCATGATGCTGCCACTACCACGCGTCATGGTGGGAATTTTATGTTGATGGCATTTAGATTCTGATTAAAATCTTGATCATAGGTTGTTATAAATGTTTGTGTGGCACTGCCTGGTGAATATGGCTAACTTTATCTTCTGTCAGTAATGTATGTAACAAGACATACAAGTTTTTAATGTGTCATGTTCATGGGCTGCTCTGATGTGTAGTTTTGTGCACTTATGTTTAATTATTGTGTGTGGATTTGGTGTTAGATCAGAAATTCTCAACAACTTGGTCGTGCAGTGTTGATTACTGGACTTTACCCCTTGCAAGCACATTCAGTTCAACAGCCTCTCTCATCATTTCTGCCAAATAAAACTGATCCCCTCTGTCATCAGTGTGCAGCGAAGACTTTACTGCCCTTCCTGACTAGACACCTTTGTGAGCCAGGTTTCTCCTTTATGTTAGCGATTAAACAGAAGGCATTTACCAAACCCCCCCACTCAGAGTGACAGTTAGAAAGTCCATTTAAGGCCACGTTTCCACCGCAGGAACTTTCCCCAGGAACCAGGAACCTTTTGAGGAACTATGCGTGTTTCGACCACAGGAATCAGTGTCTAAATTTAGTTCTGAGGTAATTGACCGAAAAAGTCCCTGGTCGGGGGGTAGTAATTTCCAAAGGTTCAGGCACTTTGGGGGGTGTGGTCTGCAGTGATGAACATTTCTGACTGGTCGAGTACTCGTTGCATTTTATTTCACCCACCTGTTTAAAAGCCTGCAGTGAGCGGGTGAAACTTTTCTAGTTTCCACACTGCGAAACAGGTCTGGGAGAAGGTAAAAAAAAAAAACTGACACAGGACTACAAAAAATAATGGACCACAAACAACCGGAGTGGCTAGGTTTGCCACTGCGCGATCATCCCGTATTTGAAAATAAAATGCTGGGTATTGAATGCTGTATTGAATCAATACCTTGAAGAAAAGTACCTAAAAGTTCAAGGTACTGTTTGGTCGAAACGCGGCTTAAGTCTCTCTCTCTCTCTTGTATCTCTCTCTCCCATCCCTCCTCTGCATTTGACTCGTTATCAACTGAAACCCCTTGACTAAACTCAGCTGATCTCAATGTGATATGTGACTTCTAAAACCAATTTGCTGCATCACTGATGAGTTGTGCCCTATGAAAGGGTGTCAATACTAATTCAAAAATGTATTTTGTATTTTTTACTTGTAATTTAGATAAATTTTTAGAGATGTTTTTACATTGACACTAAAGGGCCAGTGTCAAAAAAGCCACATTCAACCAACTTTGATTCAGTGTTGTAAAACTATGAAACAAATCAATCAAATACTTTTGTAGGCACAGTGAAATACTGCATGCATACATTTCAGGTAATGGCATTTAATCATAGTTGCACACTGTGTTCCAGTGTGAGGAGGAATGTGTGGGCGTTCTTTTACTTTGCATGTAATGACCGAAGTACCATGACCCTATCTCCTAGATGTTACATGCATTTAGAAGGAAACACCTGAGCTGAGGAACATCTTCTACTGGCATAGAAGTCATATGGAGGTGGTCAGGGAGATAGTTGGACTGACACCAGTCTCCAGTCCTTAGGTTTAAGCTGCGCAAACACTTCAAGTTAAGGTCAGGGAACAATCTGGATTTGGTTAAATGTTGAGTTTTTGACCAAGATCACCTTTCCCCGGCTTTAACAAAGTATTTTGAGTTGCCTAAACAGAATCATAAAACTGTTCATCATCTATTATGAAAAACAGTAAAGATTTGCAGATACATACAAGATGAACAACTGGCAACTCTGCAGAATAGTGCTGTTGCAGTGTTTCCTCATTATGTTGATTAAAAAAGAAATCAGATCAGCATAATGTCTCTTTCAAGACATTTGCTTTTGCAAAGATTTCTAGGATCGGGCACAGCTAAGCACCACCTCTACGCATTTACAATAAATGGCCTAAATAAAGTGTAGAGCAGGGTGCTCAACATTTAGTAAAGACAAATATATGATGACATGCATTCCTAATGGAGCTGCAGAATCATTTGCAATATGGTCAGCACTACTGCCAGATAGCAATTAATGTTAGTGGAAAAAACCTTTCCATCGGTATATGTGGAGTTACTTTTCACAACAGGAGAGGTGCTACAGTGATGTTAGGTTTACAATTTCTAAAAAGCATTCACAATATATTTGTGTTTTTTCTTTTGTTTGTTTGTTTGTTTGTTTGTTTGATTGTTTTTTTATTTTTTACCTAAGTGGCTGCCAAACACCCCTCGATCTATTCAAGCTGTATTTTCATTCACAACAAATGATCATTACTATCTTCATGGGTCCAAAAACTGTGGACCTGATCCTAAACAGACACCTGCCACAACTACTCAAACCTGACATGTACACACATTTTCCAAGCTTCACTGAGCATAACGCTGGCCATCCTTTATAACCTGTATCATTAAGCTGCTTAGCTATGAGTGCATTCATGTGACAGAGTTGTTAATTACAAGCGTTGTATATGTCAGAAACCATATACTTAATATGGAATAAGATGAAACAGAGATACCCAAAGGAAAAATAGTTAGTGTCAACAGAAAGTGATATTCAACATGGAGAAATGTAAACAATGTAATCACAGAACTAGAAAAGCATAAGAGGTTTATTAGATCGATAGATAGATAGATAGATAGATAGATAGATAGATAGATAGATAGATAGATAGATAGATAGATAGATAGATAGATAGATAGATACTTTATTTATCCCCTTGGGGAAATTCATGTGTCCATTAGCTCATTGTTGATAATAATAATAATAATAATAATAATAACACTTCATAATAACTAAACAGTAATAATTAGACGTAGTGGGAACAAAGGATCTCTTGATACTTTATCTATATTCATCTCACTGCGCTGCAGTGAGATGAATATAGAGTATTTTTGTTGTCTAATGATGTACAAACTTGAATATTTGCTGCACATTAAAAAGGTAATAGTAAAATCAGGCAAAAACAGAGAGGAAGAGAAAATTAATTAAAATTAATGTTGTTTTTTGATAAAATAAAAGAGTGTTAAAGCATCTGCACTGTCAGGAATCCTGTCGAACTAAAAAATCTTTGCACAATTAAAATACAGTTATGATCATCATTATTATTACATCGTTATTTAATCATTTGTTACAAGCTGTTTAAACCAGGGTGGACACATCTATAAAACATATCTATTATTCCTTATTATTGTCACTTTATTATTAACTCTTTGTCTAGGGTGGTATCTTGTAGGAATGATGAGTTGTTTCAGTGATCTGATTGGACAGCAGTTGGGCTGTTGACAGGTGTTGATGTGATCCTCTGAAGTCACTGCTCCAGAGCAGCTTAACCGTGCAGCCAAGGTCACCATGGTGATTTACAGCACTTAAAAACAACTTTACGATACCAGAGAATCTGAGTTAAGCCCAAAGTTAAGACCAGGGATTAATAGGTTAGCCCAAAGAAGGCTAACCTACTAATGTGACCACTTTGTGATACAGGCCCCTTGTCAAAAAGGGACAGCCCCACATAGAGAGAGCACCATTTCTGGTAGTAGCTTGATGGTTCACCAACTGATGAGCAGCAATACACATCCTAAAAATCAATTTAAAGTTACGCTGTAGCAATTAATTCCAAAAGTAACTAAAGAATTTCCTTGGACAAAGAATGCCTCATTTATTATTGCAGTTCACATCCACAGAAACACACAGAGTATTAGGTTACAAGGATCTGAGTGGACCTTCGAAGACCTCTGCTTTTCATGTTTAAAGAATAGGGTTCAACATAGATGATTTACTTCCAAATGTGTTTTATGATCCTTTGGATATCCAAGTTGAATGAACATTGTTTAGGTTTGGTTTGTGTGGTATGTATGGTTGAGATGGGTATAAAAGTGATAGCATTTTAGCTTTAAAGGACACACAGATGGTTTATTGTCGTCAGTGACAAAGGTGTGAAAATGAAAACCTTTGACGAAAGAGTCCCTGACTCAGTCTCTGGTTGGATGTGAACTGCACCTGGTCAACATGACACAGAACCACTACATCTGCTTTCATTGTCAATATCTCTATAACTGATACAAACATCTGTTTTCCATTTCATCCACTGGCTTTTTCATTGCTGTTTATTGCAATGTTTTATTTTTCTAGTATGTCAAAGGAGAGAATTTATAAGTGGAAAATAAAGGACAGTGTTTGCTGCTGAAACCGTTTTATATGTTGTCTTTATGTCCCTTTATGTCCTTGGATGTCAGAAAGAAAGGGGAGAGGGCAAAAGTATTAAAACACACACACAACAAATGTGCATGTGTGTAAATTGGAAAACTTTTTAGCTAAAATACATACAATTAATCTCAAGTTCCTAATAAAAGCATAACCAAGGGCCACAATTCCACTGGGTGGGAGGGGGCCTGTCTCCCTCACTTTTCAAAATCCTATTCTTGCTTCTCTCACTTATTTCAATCTCAGTTTAATTTCCTTACTAAAATCTCTGAACATTGTAGTCTTACTCCCTCATGACAACTGTTTATATCACTGAGGGCATGGCCACTTTGAGTGACAGGTAGGTGCCGTCACAGTTGGCTAGCCGCATGCTTCCAGAAACAACTTTAACCTGGATGTTGCATTATGTTATTGGTTGAGCTGGAGTTTGTTATTGAGGCTGTATGGTAATGTAACATTACCATGACAACCCAGGAACACAAACCTAAATAAAATCTTTATTGTTTAATATTATTACTACAATAGGTATTTTAAAATTATTACAGAAGCTGCTGATTGTGATTGGCTGTAGGCTGAAAGATTGACATATGACTAAATAGCAGGTAGCAGTGTCTGCGGTCACCATGGTTTGTTAGCTTAGCTAATAAACAAGTTAACCCTTGTGCAACCTTTATCATTTTTCTATGATTTTGGCTGTTAATGCAAACGGCAGTGTACTAGTATGTTTACATGCAAGTGTATATGCTTGCATACGCATGTGATCTTAGAGCAAATGGTTTTCATGGCATAATTTTTGTGATAATCCAAACAGTATTTTAACACTAGTATTTAGTGTATGGAAAATAATACATAAAAACAACAGCGGCTTTATGTAAACAAACTGGAATTTAAAGGGTCAGAATCTTGAAAATGATTCAATATTTGGTCGTTATGATCAGGACTGATGTTGGTTAAAAAATCTCAGTGAAAGTGGAAAATAACATTAATATATAAGATTTTCATTGCAGTTTCTTGATGCTGACATTTTTGTCCTAAGGTCATACATGTAACTCAGAGAAAGTGTGCTTGTGTGTAGGAATATGGTAGTGCAACAGTTGATACAATGTAATGCCAACAGAAACTCAAATCAAAAATATGTAAACCTTTCAAATCATGTTTCATGTACTTTTAGATAGAAGGTCTCTATTGTATTGTCTAATTTTATTCTATTCAAGTATCTTTTTAGGAGAATATAAACTTAATTAAAAGTAAAGATTTATCTTACTTTATTCTTTATCTGAAAAAAAAAAAAAAAAAAACTTTTTAGCCCTGAAAAACAAATGCAGGTCTTCCCTTCAGACTCCATATAGCACCAGTTTTTCCACCTATACTGTAGGGCTGCCTTTATGTAGCCTGAAATGCTAGAAATGTCCACAAATTCCTAACTACACCAC